TGTCAATAACTTAATTTCTATTTGGAGTTTTATTGTTTCATTTTATTTGTATTTTTTTCTTTTTACATTCTATCCAATTGAACTATAAATTTCAGTATAAATTTCAGAAGAGCTTTGCAATAGTTAAAAAAATAGCAATTCCTCAGTGGTAAAAAATATATTTAGAAAGATTATGTAAAATATAAGTGCAATCTACTCTTAATTAAATTTAAATTATAGTCACACTTCAATCTCTTTCTCATGTATAACAATAGTAATTATTTAAAATTGCTTAACTATTATATTTCATATGCTAAACATAATTTAGAACAAACAATGTTATGCAAATACAATACAGTTTCAAATTAAAATTATGCTTATTTGTAAGTTGTTTACATATCCATTCATATAAAGTCTTCTCAAAAATATTGAGTTGGTTTTCCATTTTACAGGTAGGGAAATTGACTCTTATTGCCAAACAGAAAATAACAGCAAACTGGGATGTGAATCCTAGTTGACTTATCCCAAACTATTGACCATTATGTTTAATATCTCTCCTACACATTTGTTAATGCATACAGCCATTAAATGGTCATTGATTTCAATTGCTGTGATATTGATGTGAGGATTCGAATGGTTTAGAATTGTCCGTACTTTGATTCATATGCTCAATTTTATTTATAGCTGTTGAAACATTCTGAAAATGGTAAAATCTCTAAGAACAGTTCTGATTTCAGACATTATGCTGATGTTTCATCAAACTTGATATAGCGTGATCTTTACAAAATTCGTATCTCCTTTACAAAATTGTTCTTTTCCCTCCCTCTCCTAAACAGAATTAAAACTCCTTATTGTGGCTATTTGTATATCAGTGTTCACTGGAAGAGTATTTATAGTAACAAAAGATGGAAACAATCCAAGCATCTCTATGAACAGATGCATGGATAACCAAGGTATGATATATGTATATAATAGGATATTATTCATCCATAAAAAGGAAAAAAATTCTAACTCATCCTATATCATAAATGCATACTGAAAGTATTATTCTATGTAAAATAAGTCACAAATAAAAGCTCAGTATTTTAGTATTCCTCTTACATGAAATGCCTAGAATTGACAGATTTATAGTTGGTAATTTGTTTGATTTATATATATCAACCCATCTATAGCTATTTCACTATGATTTCAAAATTAAATAATCTAATATGAAAAAAGGCATTGAATTGTACAACTTAAAGAGGCAAACTGCATGCTATGTAAACTGTATATCAATACATTTTTTTAAAGCTCCTTATTGGCAGACTAAGTCCTTCAAGATGAGACCTTTCCCTGCCACTGCTGCTTTGCCTCATACTCAGTCATTTCGTATTTTAGTCACACAAAATGACTCCTCGTCTACCTCATGCTTTTTATGTCTTCATATTGAAAAAAAAAAAAATCTGCGTTCTGGTCTATGAGAGTAGTTTCCAGTCTTCTTGATCTGAGGCATTTTATACTTTTACACAGTGCTGAAGGCTCCAGAGAAACTTCATCTCTGTGGATTCTGTTTATATTTATTTGAGATTTTAGAAATAATTAAAACTTGTTTTTGAAAATTTATGAATTATTTAAAACTGATAATGAATTATTTTTTGTGTTAATATGAGAAACAACTTCTAAAAATTAAGTTTTTTTACAAAAATACTCAAAGGAATTATTTCAAAATCTAATGTGTCCATTAAATATCAGACTCATCAGAAGACAGCTGGATTTTCTTTTTGTATTGGTAATCAAACTGAGGGCCTTATATTTGCCAGTAAGGTGCTTTTGTCATTGAATTATATCCCCGGGCAGAATAATTGGATTTTCATAACCTTTTCAGTGTCGTTTGGTTTGAATTATATGAAGAAAATCCAGCTTCACAAATGTATTAGCTATAAAAGGGAAAAATATTTTAATGTCCCTTTAAGATAATTCTGCATATTCTTAACTCATACTATTCCAACCATGCTAAGTTACTTGCAGCTTAGTTTAAACAGAAACCACAATGATGAGTTTTCATATTTTATTATATTAAAATTCACTGGTTTATCTTGTCCACCAATGGATCATTTAGCCATGAATGATCTTATTATACCATTTGGAAAATACTGGTTTCTTGATTTATCCATATCTTCCAAATTTTGAAGACATGTATTATGGAAAACTGCCAACTCATATTAGTTAACATCACAATCCATTTCATCATAAAAGACTTCAAATGATGGGAAGCTGTCAAGTTTATTCTGGTGAACATGTCTCACAAAATGCTAATTTTTACTAGGAAACTTAACTTCTATTGCTTGAAACAAATTCTAAGGATGATTTTCCTTGCAATATCAATTCTTATTGTATATTCTTTAGAAAGTGTCTGCCACTCTTGCCTGGTTTGCACAGCTCCTGTTTATCTCTTACTCTTTAAGTAAAACATGGTGCTCTTTGAAGCACGCATGAGCTCAAACAGGCACACTAATGAATCGCTTCAGTTGTAATGCAGTCTAGGAGCCTTGTGTATATATTTTTTTATTTTGCCACGCAGAATTTTGAAGACATCTGTACTGAAGGGCTAACATTTCATTAAAATAGTAATATTTACATCTTCTTCAAGGTAATGACCTTGAATAGGGTCTTTTTTTCCTGCTGTTAGAGCACAATTAAAAATGTAACGACCACTAATTAGAATCTTATTTTGTTGCTTAATGCTATGGGCCAGCAGTTAGCAACTATAGCTTTTCTATCACATGACAAGTATAAACAGTAAAAACCATGAATTATATTACTTTTGATCTTGTAGCTCTCATAAGATATTATAAAGTACGAATCTCCTGGAATCCATACTTTGAGAACCTGAGGTCCACGGTTAGTCTTCCTTTTTTTACTTTATACCTGAAAACTCAGCTAACAGACTTCTATTTACCCTTTAAATTTCTTCACCTAGCTCCTACATTGTCATCTTTAAGAACTTTGGGAAGGTTCTCCAGTCTCAGCTAGGAAGACATTTGCATGCTCTATAGAACTCTAACATGAACTGTATTTCACTGCTTTTTACTAGTGTTTTTCTTCTTTTGACTATGGCTTCTAATGGCATATGGACTGATATACATCTTTATAGTCAGAGTGCCTAAACAACTATCATTAGCACAGAAAATAAATCAACAAGTTAATTAACATGTAGTTACAATGTGAACATTTGATCTATGCATTGTACTAGTTTGCACAGATCAAAGAATATTATGATGTGAGTTTCATAAAACATGTACCAAAGAATTGATGAGTGTTACATACATATATAGTCCATAAGCAGTACACTTTTAGTATTGTTTGATACCACAAGCACACACATGCAAACATTGGAAATCCATAATGTTTATGTTATAAAAATACCAATTGGGTTGAAATTATCAATAAACATGTTAACCTGTAGAATAAAATATATTAATGTGCATTTAAAGTGTGTATTTCAACTGATGTTGAAAGGTTGAGTAGAATTTGACCAGGTAAGATAAAGGCAAAAGATATTAAATATTAGCAGTATAAAAATGATAAGCATAAATAAAAAATAATGTCAACACATGGTATTGTTTGATATAAATCTGTATTTCTGTTCATAACTATACCACTAGATACTGGATCTTATAATCAGAGACAGGTATATTACTATAAGCCAGCATTGTTTGTATATCAAATTTTGAGATGATAAAATTACAAAATTACCATTGGCAAAAGTGTGGAAAATAGATGTTTTCACAGACAGCTGGTGAAAATGTAGATTGACTTTGGGCATCCATTAGAAATTAAAACCCTGCTAACTCTTTTTCTAGGTTACTATATTTAAAATACTCGTATGCATGAAAAACATAAATATTGTCTACATATAAATGTTCATTATGACACTGCAGAATGAGAAGACATCAAAAAACAGTTGATACTCATCCAAATGAAAATTATGAGGTACATTAGTTTACCTTGAGTACAAAATTTGATACAGGTTTTTAAAATAAATAAAACAAAATGCACTTATGTGCTGATACTTAAACTTTGCATATAAACAAATGAAAAAAGCAGCTATGTGTATAAAACATTTAGTGGTATTACTCTTTGTAATTACAAATGAATACATATATATGGAAACTTCTAGAATCAATGATACCTATCAGTTATGGGTAAGCAAATAGGATTGACAATTGTAATAAAGCATCAGTTTCACATTCAAAAATTTATACTACTGGAACACTTAGCAATAAATTTATATATGGTTTTACAATCTAAAATTAAATATGCTAATTCCAGTATAGATAGTGAAATATGTAAAGGAAGGAATTATATATATATATATATATATATATATATATATAGAGAGAGAGAGAGAGAGAGAGAGAGAGAGAGACAGAAAGACAGAGAGACAGAGAGACAGAGGGAGACAAACAGAAGAGAGAGATGGAGATGAAAGAAACTGAAATTGTGACGAAGATGAAAATATTCGTGAATATCAGATGACAAGAGGTTTCTCATTAATTATGAGTAATTACATAGACTATGATGCTTTAATATTTATATGATAAAAATATTAGACTTATTAAATCATTTCTAAAGTAACATTTTCTATCAAAACTCATATACATACAAAATAATGTCTGCTGTTTTGAAAAATATATGACCGAAATTTACCAGGCATGTACTCTTAAAGATAGCATTGAAAAACCAGTTAGGATAGTTTTATATAGAAATGTTATTTCACAAGAATTGTAATACTCTTATATGTGAGAAGTATTATGATTAAATAAAAATTTTGTAATTAGAAACTAATAATCATAATATACACCGCGTGCGTTTTAGTAGCTAACTCCTTCTTTGATATTGGGGTGTGGAGGATGATACACTCACATTAAATGTAAACTGTAAGAAATTATAATTAGTACAAGTAATTACTACTATTATTTCTCTAATAATATACATGACACTCATTTCCACTAAATATAATATTATATTGTTATACTTACTTTCAACAATTACTTGTCTGTCTTCCCAGTTATCTTTAATGAGCTGTATATTTCCAAAATGTGCATCACTGTAAAAGATTCGGTTGGTCCCTTTTCTTCTTTGATTATAGTCAAAAGCCAAGGCTATGACATTCTTGAAATAATGTGGATTCCCATATGGCCTTATTGGAGAATTTAAATTGGTTTCATCAGAAAGATGTATACTTTTTAATATTGTTCTCCCTGAATACAGTAAATAGCCTTCATGCCTTAGGCAAGTAACTCCATCTTCTGCCAAATATCCATGGGCACAAGCACAAGTTCTCCGGGAGTTTCCTCGATAAAGACAGAGTTGTTTACAGCCACCATTGTCCTTGGCACAAATATTGGTTCCTGAGGAACAAAAATATACACATGGACACACACATGTTTATACTTTTCCAATAAGTTTTTTTGGTTACAGAATATTAATAACTATTGCAGTGACTATGTCCATCTTTATTATTAGTTTTAAGACTGTTCAACAGAAATAAGTACTACAAAGTAACAATCTTTAATCACAGAAGTTTAATACGTAGGATTTCCATTTAAGGGATTACAATATTCTGGTTCACAAATCAAATAAAACCATTAACATTGTATTTTCTCTTAAGCTAGTTTACTAGTTATATTTTTTCTGAAACTTGATACAAATGGTACAATATGATTTTGGTACAGTAATTTTACATTGTTATCTTTAGCAAAAGTAACTGATACACTTAAAATATGATCTGAAATTGCCAAAAGAAAGAAAAAGAAGAAGCAAGCATCACTTTAGAGTATGTGCATATGAGAGTCATAATGTACCAAAAAAATCTGTGTCTCCAGTGTGCCTAAGCACACACACATGCGCACACACACACATACATAGCCATACTTTGTACTAATTTTATGCTCTTAAAATGTCTTCAGCAAGCTAATTTTTCCTCAGTGAAACCAATATTGTGATTTCATGAAGTTCTTTTGATGCAAAGGAAAGTAAACATAATGTACTTTGGTTGAAGTAAAGTTCTAAAAATTATCAAAATTGCTTTCCTACTGGTTTCAAAATACACAGTTTAAGGAAGTAATATCTTCAGAAATATTCCACACTAAAAACATCACTTTCTGGGTTCTAAACCCAGATATTAAAAGTAATCCAAAATAAAAATTATAGCTACTTTTGTTTTTTTAATATCTTAAGTGATATTTTTAACTTTTTAAAATCAGCATATGTACCAGTTATTTTTTCTAATATTACTTATCCCAAATAAACACTCAAGACACACAGTATGTAACGTGTCCTTGTATAGCGTGATCTGAGGCAAATAATTCCTTAATTAATTCCTTAACTATTATGTGATTGTTCTACATGGAAAAAAATAAGACTTTCAGGTGTCTGACTCATAGGAATTTAATTTTTAAGTTAAATCATCACAACAATTTATTTAAAACATAGCAGGACTAAGCAGTATAAAGTTTTACGTATGGTGCATTCTTTTAAGTGTGCTGACCTTTCTCTCTTACTCGGTTAAAGATTTTAATCTCCTTCAGGTTGACTCCAAGTCCTGTTCTCATGGTTACCATTTCCGTGGCATCGTTCTTGTGGCCCCTTCTGATGGACCCATTGGCATGGGCTCTGCCAAAATGTAAACATGCATGATCAACACACTAAAATCAAGTCATTTTGTTAAGCTGAAGGTAACAGATGGCTTGACAGAAGGGAAAGGGACCAAGTTTAGTGTGTGATACTGAAATTCTTGAGCCTGGAGTATCAAGTGTGTCTGCTTTTCCTATGGAAATTACATGGCTTTGTGAGATCCTTTCTGTGACCTTGCTGGGTATGGCTAATTCTACAAGGGCAAAGCAACCAGCACTGAAATAACAGTCTGAGACTCGAATACTTATGAAAAAATAAATTACCTGTCAGACCAGTAGATGTAAGCCCCAAAGACAGCAACTGAAAACATATCCACATTGCTCCCTGACAGCACCATCTCGCGATTGCTTCCAGTCTCAAGGTCAATTCTTTCTATCTTGTCTGTGCGCGCATCACACCAGTACAATTTATTTTCCTAAAGATCGATGGAAAGTAATAATACAACCTGGTTTCGATGGCTCTTATTAAGGGAGGACTAACAGTGGACTAGTGCAGACTGGCAGTTAAAACACTTTAAATATTTATATTTAACAGACCTCATAGTCGATGGAGATCCCGTTGGGCCACGCTATTCCCGTGCTCACAAGGACAAGTTTCTCTGAGCCATCTAGGCGAGATTTCCCGATGCGGGGCATTTGTCCCCATTCAGTCCAGAACAGGAAACTAAAATAAAGTTGTTGCTTTAGAGTAATACACTGGTAACCCACCAAGACATTAACATCAGCAATAACATTAACATGAACAGAACAGAAACAATGTTATTTCACAAACTAGTATTAGAGGCATGTGTGTGTTTGCAGTGTTGTAGCTCAGCATAACTGATGCCACCTTGTGCCCTGTATTTGACTCATGCCCTGTATTTGACCCAGTAGAGTGAAAATTTGCTTAAGGTACAAATCCCATGAGAAAAGCAGAATGAGCTTCACTATAAGAGAAAAACTTAACCTGCTCAGCAAAGAAGAAGGAGACAGGTGTCAACAAAAATTAATGTAAGATTTTAATTAAATTGCTTAAAACAGAATGTCTTGCTTTGCAGTTTTCTGCTTTAAATGCCCTGTAACCCTCCAGTTCAGGGCCACTCATTTTGACTCTGAAACAGGGGTCTACGGGTGATTTCTGAGCTCAGGTAATAAAATCCCCAAATTTATCAATTTGGCTGCTTGGATTCCTATATTATTTATGAACCCACTTCAGCAACAAAATAGTCTCTATTATAAAATATATTTAGCCTGCCATAGAAATCACATATAATGCAAAATTTCATCAAAGTACCTTGTTTTAAAATTTTATTTTGAATAAATAATTTTTTTAAAAAGGGAAAGATTGAGATAAAAGAGGACATAACAACATAACAATACAGATCAAAGCATAACAGTTTCAGCAATCTAGTGCTTCACCACAAGATAACACGACATAATAGTAGTTTCCATAGTGTCTCTTTCCTTGTATACTATGACTTCAAACATATCATGGCAGTGTGAAACCATTCAAGAGGATGAAAGTATTACAGGGTATTTAGAACCAGCTAATGGAAAACAAACAATGGTTTCTATATTATCCCTTTGCCTATAAAAATTTTTGTATATACTATCACATATAATAAAATCCAGTAAGATACAACATGATAAAACCAATGGAGACAGAAGAACAACAGTTCGGTGGGATTTCAAAACAAGATGATATTAAATCAGCACTAGCTATTATGATGTCTTGTTTTCTTCAAAATAGCTGTTTATATCATCACAGGCAATAATATCAAACAGCCCAGAATAAAGCCATTCCAATTAATGAGTGAAAACTTTATAAGGCTTCAAAGCCACATAATGTCTTTCCAAGCTATGTGGTTCCCTGTCACAGAGAGAATTATTTTCTCATTTTTGACTTTCAGGCCATAAGCCCCCTTTCAGGTTGATTATATTTCCTATACAGAGGATCTTGATGGACCCTATATCCCGATCTATTCTGCCTGTGTTTCTTTCTGTTAGTGGATCAATGCCATCTATGTTAGAGATTATAGCCAACATTCTCTACTGCATCTCTGCTATGCTATTTTTCTGCTGTTAGTTGTCTACTTTTCCCCTTCATTCCACTGTCTGCCCCATTCATTGAGGCCTCTCTGCCACTGTTCCAGAAACCCTGTTTTTTTTTTTTTTTTTTTTTTTTTTCCTCTCTCTCTCTAGAATGTCCTTCAGTATTTTTTTAGGGTTGGATTGATAGTCACAAAGTCCCCCAGTTCTTCTTTGTCATGGAAGCATTTTGTTTCTGCATTAATTTTGAAAGATAGTTTTGCAGAGTACATTAATCTGGGTTTGAGGTTATTTTCTTTCAGGGCTTGGAATACTTCACTCTGAGCTCTTTTTGATTTAATGGTTTGTGCTGAGAAGTCTGTGGTGATTTTGATGGTTTTTCCTTTTTAGGTGATCTGTTTCTTTTCTCCGTTGGCTTTTAATATTCTGTTCTTGTGTTGAATTTCTCTTGTGCTGAATTTCTCACTCATTTCAATCTTATTATATATCTGAGTGTAGATCTGTTTTGGTTGTAACTGGCTGGAGTTCTGTATTCCTCATATATCTGAATATCATTTACTTTTCCTATGCTTGAGAAGTTTTCCTTATTTTTTTCTGTGAATAGCCTTTGTATTTCATTTGTGTTTACCCCTGCTTCTTCACTCTCATTTTTTATTCTTAAGTTATACATCCTTTTGTTATCTTCTAGCCTTTGTAATGTTACCTCTTGGTTCCTTGTTATTTTTAAGAGATCTTTCCTTTCATGATCACACATTACAATCCTGTCTTCAAGTTTTGAGAGTCTACCTTTAGTTTCTTTCAAGCAGTTTTGTCAGCTTTCAATGGAGTTTTTCATTTTCTGGTACTCTTTGGATCTGTTTCACTTATTCTAGATTTTTATTATATTCTTCATAGAAGGTTTCCCTCCTTTTTCTGTGCTCCTCCATTCTTTCATCTGTGTCTTCTTGAGAGGTGCTTAGTATTTCTTTTATTAATCTTCTTATATCTTGCTTTACTTGTATTTGTATTTTTGTTTTGAGTTCTTCTATAATGTCACAAAGGTATTTCTTTATGTCAGTTGATTCTGCTTCCAATACTGCAGGTTTGCTGCCCTTGATCTCTTCTACCCCTCCTGGATCCATATTGTTTGTGTTGGCAGCACTTTTTTTCTTTCTTTCTTTCTTTTTTTTTTTTAAACATGTTTCTGGTTTCTTGCAGACAAGTGTATAGTGGTGGTCCCAGGCCTTTTCTCTATTGGTTATGATTACTCTGAAGCATGCTGGCTAAGGTTTGCTGCCCTCTCCAGTTTGCTGCTGATCATTGAGGTACAAGCAATGGAGGTGCAGGCTGACCCCTCCCCTCCAAGCTAGTCAACTACTGGGGGTCTTCACTATGTTAATGTGCACCACCTGGATGGAACCAGTTTGAGACAGCTTCAGGGGCAACTTTGGCCCTAGCTATTGGGTCCCTCAAAGGGGAAGGACCCAGTTCAAGCAGTTACCACAAATCTGTTGTGTACTAGGAATGGCAAACTGAAGCTGCTACAGTTCCAGATTCAATCCTGTCCTGCCCAATTCCAAAATGTCACCCAGCCAATCACCCTCTCCTGCAGGAGGACTGAGTTCTGAGCACCCAATGCAGGCCAGTGCAGATCTCCACGCTGGCTCCATTCAATTGTGATGTGTCCTCCTGCCAAGGTCACCACCTCCCAACTTCTGCACAATTGTGAGTCTGCAGACTCCAGCAGCCCCTAGCACACTGTGGACTGGCTCCTGTGAGAGTGTTTATGGCTCCAGTTTTCTATCCACAGTTTCTTTCTTTCTTTCTTTCTTTTTTTTTTTCTTATTTTCCTCAGTTTCTTCTTGGGTAGTGAGAATTCCTCTCCTTTCATCTGGTCTTCTCCATGGTGTTAAATTCTCAGTTCTGAGCTGTTTCTTTCAGAGAGACTCTTTACTTTGCTACTTATTGATCCACCATCTTGCTGAACTCCAGAAGTAAGTTTTGTACAAACTATCTCCAAAATGTCCTCAAAAGGCTTTTGACTGTCACTGATTATAGCACTATATAGTATGCTCCATAATAGCAGAACACAAAGGTTGGAGTAGCAAATTGCATTTCTATTTTCATGTTGTCTTTTGATTTTGAATCCCCCCCGACTTGAAAGTAAGCTCATAAACAACAATGACTATTGCTTTTTTAGACATTATATCACCTACAGTACTGGATAATTAGAAAAGTGGTAAATAAAAATTATTAGTAAGTTCAAATTGAATTAATGATGTTAATGAAATTAATTTTTAATCCATTCAATATTACACTTAAATGGCATATGAAATTACAAAATTTTAAAATAAAATTTTTACTGTCCATGCTTAATTTATAAAAATATTCATGGATGCATCATAACTTTGAATTCTGTCAATTTAGATTGTAAAACAATTAATCAAACTTGAATTTTTTTGTACAGGGTATCAGATTCATGACCTTGTGCTTGCCAGAAGGTGCTTACTTAAATCCCTGACCTCTCCAACTTTAATTTTGCTAATTATCATATGAAATCTTCTTAAGACAGAGTTTTATACAAAAGAAGACAATCCTATTTTAATAATCCTGAAAAACAAAATTTAATGTAGAAAATAAAGTAACACAGAAAGAAAATTTAGGAAATATCAAAATAAAAAGGGCTTTAAAAAAAGAAAGGTAGAACCTGGCCTGGTGGCTCTTGTCTATAATCCCAAGACTCTGGAAGGCTGAAGCAGGCGAATGAAAAGTTTGGACCTGCTTAGGTAATTCACATGCTTAGCAAAAGCTTGTTTCAAAATGTAAAATAAAATGTGCTGATGATGCAGCTGAGTATGTAAACCAGGGTTCAGTATCCACTCCAAAGAAGAAAGAAAGCAAGAAAGGAAAGAAGGAAGGAAGGAAGGAAGGAAGGAAAAAGAAAGAAGGAAGGAGGGAAGGAAGGAAGGAAGAAAGGAAAAAAAGAAAAAGAAAGAAAAAAATAGAGAACAAAAGAAATAAAGAAGAGGAACAAGAAAGGAAGTCAGGTCAGGAATATAATCAATTAATCAATATATGTGTACACATATTAATTCAATGACTTTAGAATATATATGACAACACAGAAATTCATGCTTTTATGTAAATATGGTTCATTTTAATTTGAAGCTATATCCACTGAAATTTTAATCTATCAATCAGATAGTCACAATAATTAAATTTTATCAAAATATTAATATATTCTTTCAAGTAACAATGTTTCGCATTTCTGTACATGTCTGAGACATGAGGGATTGTAAACAAGAAGAAACAACGAGGCTGCATATGGAAGCTGAAAAACACATTTATATTTTGTACACTCAATGGAGTTATTTAGTCATGAAGAAATACTTAAATCTAGATAAAGAATGTGTGCTCTATTTAAGCATATTGTTTCAATGTATTTGTTGTTGAATTTTTCTGAAATAAGTATGATGACATTTTAGGATCAGACAAAAAAGAGGTGTTGCTGATTAAAATCTCAAGTGCATTATTGTTGAAGATTTTTGCATTTATACTTATAAAACTGAACCAATCACAAAGAAATATCTTATAGAAGGAAATTCAACTAATATTTTCTTGCTAAGATATTGGTGAAAAAGATAAAAAATGCAGGTT